AAATTTAAACCAAAAAAAAAGTATGCCCATAGATGATTGCCACTCTCAGACTTTATCAGAGAAGCTTCTTTTTGTAAATTTGCAGTGGTTAATGCAAAAACTCACAGCTGGCCAAACTGCAGAGTCTATGAAGCATTAAGGGATATTGTTCCTATATCCCTCCTTCCTTCAATGTTAGCTCAGGGAACATCAGAGAAGAGGAAGCAGACACAATGTAAAGCCAGAGGTTGGGAAGGAAGGAGTGCTATGAAAGTATCTGGGTTTGTTGTTGTTTTGTTTTTGTTTTTCCTAAGACAGGGTTCCTGTGTGGCCCTGGATGTCCTGGAACTCACTCTTTATACCAGGTTAGCCTCAAACTCAGGAATCCACCTGCCTCTGCCTCCTGTACATACCACCACTGCCCAGCGAAAAAGATGTCTTAACAGACACAGCATGGCTCCACAGTCATAAATTCACCACAACAAGACTGGACCCAGCACCATTAAACATGATTGGCTTAACAAGCTCATGAGGCCTCATCACTCACTGAGAGACTACAGGTAATTATGTGTACGGAGGAGAGCGCATCTTGTTCTTCAGTGGTACAACACTGATATGCTGACAGGCTCCAATAAATACCTAAGTAAACCCCGGACTCACGCTCCTGCAAGCAACCCTGATTAAATTCAGTGGGTCAGAAAAGAAAAATAAGTAGGAGGGGCTTGCTGAAAAGAAGGACTTCAGTCTGTGGTGGGAGTGAGGGTAAGGAAAATGGGGATTTTGTGAAAACATGTACAATTTTATACATATACAAAAAACTGTCAAAATTTTAAAAGAAAAAAATGAAGGTTGTTGAATATTCCAGATTAAAAGAGCTTAAAGAAATATGACAACTGAATCTAATAATTAATAATAAACTGGATTTTGTATGGGGTGTGGTTCTGTAAAGAACACTAGGTCATTAAAATAACTAGAAACTGGAGAGAATGATATTGTGAAGCTTTTTTAAGCTGGTAATTATACTACGACTACAAGAACATCCCTTTCTTGTAAACACACATTGAAGTCAGAGGCAAAAGACGCACATACCTGTGTGTGTGTTGGGGGAGGGGATAATTAAAAAAGCACAATGATTTTTTAAAAAGCATTTGTTCTCACTGGGAAATTCTGTAAAGTCAAAACTATTTCTAATAATAAGCTGAAAAGATCAAGTTGAGTGTAAGCACTTGCAATGATAACTGAAGCTAGGGAGAGGTTAGAGGGTAAGAGTATGGCGCTCTTCCAGGACCTGAATTCCCCCTCAGCATCCACATCAGCTGACTCAAAACCACCTGTAACTCCAGCTTCAAAACCCATTACATAGCTGAAAAAAAGTTAAGTATCTCCATAAGAATTACTCCTATCCACATAGTATAGATAGTCAATAAAGAAAAGACATTCATGCTCTATTCTGAGCTGGGCATGAGCACATGCCCGTAATTCTAGTGCTCAGAAGGCAAAGGAAGGAGGACTGCAGCAAGTTTCAGCCAAGTCTCTAGCATCGAGGCAACAGGATCTTGAATTTGATGTCAGACTGGGCTACACAAGACTATATGGAGAATAAAATTATTCTAGCTGGGTGTGGTATAATTCTAACACTCAGAAGGCAAAGGCAGGATTACAGGCAAGTTTGAAGCCAACTTGATCTACATAGAGAGGGACTTCCAAGCTAACCAGAGATACAAACTGAGAAAACCTGCCTCAATGTAACAAAAAGCAGCATTTATTTTGGAGAGAGAAAAAAAAAGGCAGACTTGACAACACAACACATTACATTACATACTTAACGAAATACTGAGGTAGACATGGTTTCTATAGGCTCCCTGGTTCACATGCGAGTTAAGGTGTGAGGACTCAGCTATTTCTGTGCCATGCCTGACTGCAGCCATGCTTCTTGCCATTACCGCCATGGATTCTAAGCCTCCGGAATTGTACATCCCAAATAAAATCTTTCTGCTATAAATTATCTTAGTCACAGTGTTATCACAGCAACAGAAAAATAACTAAGACATAAAATAAATCAAATTTTAAAAAAAGGTTGCTAATCAGCTTTCCCCCACCTCACTCTTGCCCTTAGACTGCACCTTCCATTAAATCTTTAGCACCTAAGCCTACCTATTCTGTCTTCCAGAAAATCAGGGTTAACACATTTTTCTTTTTTAAGCATGTATTTGTGTGTGCGGGTGTGTGCGCGCGCACACACACGCACGCATGTACACACGGAAGGTAAGAGTACAATGGCTCCCTGACGCTGGATTACAGGTGGTTGTTACCTCCTGATGTGGGTGTTGGGAACCCAATTCAGGTCCTCTGGAATAACAGCAAATGCTCTTAACAACTGAGCCACCACCACTCCAGCCCTACATTTTCCTTACTAGTGATTACGGAGCTGAACATGGTATATTCCTATAACCCAGCACATGGAAAGCGGAGGCAGGAGGATCAAGAATTTAAGGTCCAGCTTGTGCTAGATAACCAAGCTCTGCCTCAAAATAAGCAAACAAGTAAATAAGTGATGATTTAAGTGGGATAGAGGAAGAACAATCCTTTCAAGATAGAGTTACAATTTAATTTCTTTTAGCTTTCATGATTTCCCATAATATTCTACATTAACAGGCATTTCTTAAAAAAAAAAAAAACTGGCAAAAGGGACCCTAAAAAGTATATACAAGCACCCATAATATCCAAAGGAGATTGACTCTAGGAGCCCTCATTGCCACACATGGTTACCAAAATCCGAGGATTCAGACTTCAATAAAATGGCCCAAGATGTAAATACACTTACAGATCATCTCTGCAATTTTATAATATCCAACGCTATGGTTAAGTAAGATTGAAAAATCTGAGCCTTTTGTTGCACTCTCTGGCAGAAAATGCTATAGAAATAACTGTCGCACTACACTGTTGCAGGGAACAATGACAAGAATGGCTCAGGACAACTTTTTCCCATGCTATAATAAATCTTCAGTGAGTACTTGGTTAGTTCTGAAGGCTGGGGAAATGGACATGCACAGTAAACAAGATTGAGCTATCACAGATTCAAACATCAGCACAAGAGCTATTTGCTTTCCTATCTTTTGGCTTTGTAGAATCAAAATCATTAAACAAAGTGGGATGTACTAGATTTTTTTTAAGCTTACTTATTTCATCTTATGTATGTGAGTATTTTACCTGCATGTATGTATGTACACCATGTATATGTGCTTGGTGCCAGAGGTCAGAAGGCACTGATCCCCTCAAACTGAAGTTAGAGACGGTTGTGAACCACAATTAGGGTGCTGGGAACCAAATTGGGTCCTCTGCAAGTGCCCTTAACAGCTGAGCCTTCTCTCCAGGCCCTTATTATATATTTTAAAAGTGATTTTTCACTACGTAACTACTTTCCACTTTCCTCACATTAATAACAACTTTCCATTTTTCTCACATTAAAGTATCTCTTTAGTAAAGTGCCAATAAAGCCACTGTAAGTATATCTTAATTAAAACATATTAAAAAATTTACTTTCCTCTCAAAAGAAACCATGTTGCAAGCAAAGTGACAGAACAGCTCCCTGAGAGCAGCTAAAGTAACGAAATTTAGCAGACCTTATAAGACACAATTCTAGATAATGCCGTTATCTCACAGATCACTCAGGCAGACCACACAACTGAAATATTAAGATATTTTTCAGCTTAGAAGTAAAATAATGTAAAGTCTAGTAATGTTTCTTTTTTCCATTTCTAAATGTTTCCAGACAGGCAAACACCAGGAAGCTACTGTAACCAAAATGCAACAACACTCTATACAATCCAGCTACTTCTACAGCTTTCATGGCTAGAACACAAGGACAATAACATGTTTTCTGTCCCCATGAAGTGCTGCACTTATGTGCCAAGGGCAAAAGAAGCCTACCCTCCAGTTTCTGTTTTTACTTCTTAATGCTGAGGTCCTGCTGTACTGACTAGGTTGTCTTGAATTCTTGAACTCAAGAATCCTTTCACTGCAGCCTCCTAGTAGCTGGAACTAAGTGGCCACACCTGACGTCCTTCATTATTTTATATGAAGTCTGAATTTCTAAAGGCCTTTTGGAAACACTGGCAGTCATCATTACCCTTGGCTGACTTGCATGCAAATCTCACCTATGCTGTGTACTGAGTTAGGAGGTGACCACATGCTAGATGAGGTCCTGAGGGTTGGAGCCCTGAGGAAGACGTTAGCTGTCACCTGGGCAGAAATGAGAGCTGATCAGAA